TTCCGCAATAAAGGAATAGCATCGGCTAACAAAATTCACACAAAATTGAATTGCTGCTAATGCGTAGTATAAGTCAATACAAGTATAGCATCAGGTATAGTATCTAGCCTGCATCAGCTGCGAAGTAGTATTTAATAGATTTTTTAATGGGTGAACGTGCCCTGGTTTTGTGAGGTTACTGCCCCTATCCTCTAATTACTGCTTCACGGCAAAAATAGGCAGGAAGGTAGTTCCTTTCCATGCGGGCTTATAAGACGCCCTACCATCACCAAGACCTCATATCTCATGGTGGGTGAAAGCATTCAGGTTGGAAAGCCTCTGTTCATCTTTGAAGTTGCTTCCTTTGACGAACTCAAAAGATACGAGGACGGATAAATAATTAAAAACTTATTTCAGTAAGCTGTTCCGATACTGTCTCATTAAAAGCTACTTTCGAAAGCTTTAGGGTGCTTTAACCCGAAACGCATTATGACTGATAAAAATCTGAATTTCAGGCTGTAAATCAGTACTGCATACGCCCTAATGGCACGCAGTAAAATTGGATTCGACGTCCAGCTCACGCAAGCCTCGTCGATGTTGTATAAAAATGATTTATAAATTAATACTGAAACTTTTGGCTTAATCTACGAACGATATTTGTAGTTTTGGTTCACGTAACTATCTCAACGGAGTGTTAAAAATTTAATTAAAATTTAATTAAATATTTAAATTTAATTAAATTTGTTAAAAATTGAAAATCAACTAAAAAATAGAAAATAAATCTTAATAAATTTGAATTCAAAATAGTGTAAGAAAAAATGATTATATTGTAAAAAAAAAAGCGTGGGGTGCTTTTCAGGATATTATCAAAATAACCCTTCTACTCATATCTGTTCATAAAATATTTATAACTACTGATACCATGCACCCCATGCTTTTTTTTACAATAAAATCATTTTTTCTTACACAATTTTGAATTCATATTTATTAAGATTTATTTCTATTTTTTAGTTGGATTTTCTATAAAAGCGTATTTAATTGTTTGTTTGTTTTTTTAAGCTAGTATTTATTTTTCATTTTTACTTGATTTTCAATTTTTTCAATTATTTTTTTCTATTTTTTTTTCATATTGTCTTGTCATCGGTCCTTAATAAGTATACGAAATTTCGAGTTAATCCGACGTTTTGAAGGGGTCAAACTCATGTTCAATGATTCCGTTACATACATACATACATACATACATACGTCTGAAGCTAATAAAAGCGTATTAAAAACCTGCCCTTTGACCTCTGAGAGGTGTACGGGCAATTCATTTCATTCGCTAAATATTTTCGAATGACTTCAAATTGTTTTAAAAAAAGGTTGTTCCGGAACCTTTTTTTAGTTTTAACTTAATTAGACACGACAGTGGAATATAAATGGGATCTAATTACGTTACAGAGACGGTTTGGTAAGAAGTTTAATTGTGAACTGTATGTGAGGACCATCGCAAAAAGGTCTATAGTTTTTTTTATAATACTAGTTTTTCAAAATAAATTTACGATTAGCATAAGGTTAAATCTGTTTTCTCTGCGTTGCAGCGTATAAAATACATTTTTACAGGCTTTGAAATAGTCTGATTTCCATTTTTTTTATTGCTTCAAAGTCTTATAGGTCATATGAGCATATTATAATTCAATTGTCTATGTTTGAACTAAAAAAATAGGGCCAAGAATTGTATAGTTTACCTTACTTCTACATGATAAATAATTAATTTTTGGGATTATGTTAGCTTAAGGCAAACTTAGAAAGTTTTGATTGAAGTTATTCAATTTACTAAGGCTTGTTCATACTTAGGCAATGTTATATGTAAATCTTTACTTTTGTTTCAGAAAATTTGGCTTCCAAGCCTTAACTGATTCAAAACGTTGTTAAAGATACGTATTTATAGCAAGTAGCCTATCCGGATGCCTCTATAATTATGATACCAAGAAAACATTGCTGGTTGGGGTTGGGATGCTATTTGACTCCCTTGACTGTTCCCACAATTTTTATTTCAAGTACTGATTGATAGTGAGTTTTATGTTCAGCCCGTGCGGGTTCGTTTTACAATCTTACTCATATTTCTAGAAATCACATTAAAGATTTTGGTTTGAAAGACTTCGGTACATTTACAAGTCGTCGTGGCCTAAAAGGTAAGACGTCCGATGCATTCGTATCTAGCGATGCACCGGTGTTCGAATCCCAGGCGGGTACCAATTTTTCTAATGAAATACGTACTAAACAAATGTTCGCGATTGACTTCCACGGTGAAGGAATAACATCGTAGGTAGGACCTCTTGTGACCCTACCTATTTCTGCCGTGAAGCAGTAATGCCTTTCGGTTTGAACGGTGGGGCAGATGGACTGAAACCTTAGAACTCATATCTCAAGGTGGGTGGCGGCATTTACGTTGTAGATGTTTATGGGCTCCGGTAACTACTTAAAACTAGGTGGGCTGTGAGCTCGTCCACTCATCTACGCAATAAATAAAAAATTCCTTGCGTCAATAATCCTCAATGCGGAAGATCATGGTCTTCCTTAATAACTTTTTCCTGGATTATCCTACGCCAGTCCTGCCTATCAATTTTGCGCGGATCGCATCTTGGACTGAGGTATTGAGAGTAGAGCATGTCTATTCCGACCAGCGCATTGGACTTCTGCCTAAGGGCCTTCTTCCGTGTACCTTGTCTGCTATCACCAAGTGGCTTAATTTCATCTACAGTAATGACAAACGCAACTTGTAGACCAAATTGAATATGATTACAAGATTTTCAAAAACTATGCTCAAATCTCACACGATCTAATTTAAACTACACTTATAAGTTCATATATTTTTTTTAGAAATGAAAGATTTTGGTGGCTCTTGGGCCTTTTCAATTTCACTAGGTTAGCTGGGCGAGCACGACTCATTCCGGAGGGGTGGGATTTGGGAAAAGCTGCCCGACGCCTCCGAAGAAGACCTAATAGTTCAAATGCAGCTACTTTGCGAATACATCTACTACCGGATTAAATTCGCGACCCGGTAAGAAGATCCGGCGAGAAACTCAGCATGCTGATATATTGCTGGAGTTGCACGTCGAACTCTTTGGCGAGCTCAACAGTACGGTTACCAGAGTCCCTAAGCCTGCCCTTAGTGCTATCTGCAGGCGAATATTATTTATTTATACTTTATTTCAGTTTTTATTGTTTTTTAACCATAATATTTTGTTAGTAACAATTACTTATATGTATATATATATTTGCTTATATGTTCAATTCAACAGATACAAGTGAATCTGAAACTTTTTATTCAGCTAACAGCGACGATAGCGATATTAGTGTGCCTTCTTTAGCAGAAACATTGTCTTCACGGTTCTCTGGTGTTCCTAGGAATTTTAATGTCGTTCATATCAATGCCCAGAGTATTGCGGCTCATTTCCCTGACATGCTNAGTCTCTCAGTCTATGAGCCCAATGTCTGGTGAGTACGGTCAATGATTCAACACTTCCAGCCCTGGAATTGAAGCTTAGAGACCGTCTGCTGGGCGTATGAGGTCGAGCGTTGTCGTATAAGAGCAACGGGGCCGAGCGATTAACCAAGGCTGGCCGACAATTTGCGACCTGCTCTATTATTATGTCCAATTCCTCACAGTGCACATCCGCAGTAATGCTGATGCCATTAGGTAAGAAACTATGACGAATTATACCGGCACTAGCACCTATGCCCACTATATCTATTCCCAAACCAGGATCTAACCAACACGATAACTCCTTAAGATTTACAAAAAGAATTTTTATCGTAAATAACAATGCTTCTACTATCGCCTTTAATTCGTCGTTGTTGACGTTTAGTTTTAGGCGACCACGGGGTTCATTTTATAGATCAAGATTTCCATATCGGAAGCGTTTAAGCCAAACAACAAGTGGTGCGTTCATTTGTAACTAGTGTTCACTCCGAACAGCATTAATGTTGTCAGCCATTTGCGCGACATTGGTACTGCGACGGAACTCGTATTCCATAATTAGTATATTTATTGCGTAGATACAAATGTAATGAAAACTTAAATTATATTACCATATTGTATAGACAATATCAAGATCAGAACTTAATGTGTTGTATTGCTGCGGATTTTGGAGACGGAAGCTTAACACCTTCATTGCGAGACAGGCCCATATCCACCTCAGTACTTTCAGCTGGTGCGAACGAAGAATACTATGTCCCTTTCGCTGGTGCGAAATGCGACACCGACAACAATTTAGTATAAATTGTACTAGCTGTACCCGTCCGCTTTGCTGGGCATTTAAAATGAACATTATTATTTCTCACCTCCACAAAGATTCTCATCATTAACGCCCCCGCAACTGGTGTAAGGAGTCCAAAATTCATATAAATATTAGCCTATCCATTAAGTACATGTATTTTCTACATGGATACCAAGTTTCAAGTCAATCGGATGCAGGGTTCAGTAGTTATACTGGAACATCCGTAAAAACACTGTAGATTTATATATTAATATAGATACAGTATGTTTTCGCAAATTTATAGCATTTCAATAGATTGAAGGTAGACCCTAATGCTAGTGGGTCAAGAAAGACCTGCCCCGCACTGGTGGACAAGTCGTTAGGGACGTATCTCGACCCGCCGCCGCACCAAGTGAAGGTTTTTGATTTTACTTGCCACAGCCAAGGTACCAAGGTGTTAATGTTCAAGATTTAATTTTGTTCTTGAATGGAAAATATGTAAAAAAAAATTATGCTTTCTTAGAAGAACTTGTTATATTGATTTAAGCTTTATTAGTAGTAATTGGGATATATACTATTTTGAACTTTTTTTTATACAAGAAAGTGGCAATAGAAACGACTGCTAATGTAATTAGTAAGTTTGTTTACCGTATAATCCCTATGAGATAGTGTCTACGCGAGACACTGCGGCTTTATTCTTTCTTTAATAAAACCAATTGCATTCTTGCTACTTGCTTTAATTATTATTATACAATGGTTTGCTTGTGATTGTTCGTCGATGAATCTTGGAATGTGACCTTTCTCGACAAAAGGAAGGTCTTGTCAATACTCATTATTGGGAGGTATCTTCAGACTGTTGTTGAATGCTGTCAGCGCGTGGTGCCGGTAGTAGTAAATGTTTTGGCTAGCTTGCTGTGGCGAACGCGTCAGGCGCCGCGACATACTCCCCCCCGTTGAAAGAGTCTTCTTTCAACACTCCTAGGTTTCTTGGCCATTGAATAAAGGACATAGACGAATGAGTGACCGCCGTATGCTCCCCGTCGCAGTACGAATTTCCGCCACTCTGGTTATGCCATCAGGTCCTGGGAATGTCTGCGAAACCCTTCCAAGGCGCCAGCATAATGGTGGCGTGTTATCTTCTTTTATTAAAACAAGATCACCAATTTTGACATTTGCAGTTTCTTGGGTCCATCTTTGCCGTTGTTGTAATTCGGAGATATACTCTCTTTGCCACCTTGTCCAGAAATGTTGTCGCATTTGTTCAAGACGTTGATAGCGTTGCAGCTTGTTTGAGTTCAAATTTTGAACATCAGGCGATGGAAACGATGTTAGTGGTCGTCCAATGAGGAAGTGTCCTGGGGACAAAGGTAAAAGGTCGTCAGGACTGGAGGATAAAGGACCCAAGGGACGGCTGTTAAGTATTGCCTCCACTTGTGCAAATAAAGTTTGTAGTTCCTCAAAGGTTAGATGGCTATCGCCTATCACACGCTTGATGTGGTGTTTAGCGGATTTTATACCCGATTCCCAAAGACCACCGAAGTGAGGAGAGTAAGCGGGAATGAAATGAAATTTGATTCCTTCTTGAGCAGCAAAGTCAGAAAGAGAGGCATTGTTAGTTCTTAAGTATGTACCTAGTTCGTTAGCTGCCCCCACGAAATTTCGACCGTTGTCGGAGAATATTTCCGCCGGCTTACCGCGACGCGATATGAACCGGCGCAGTGTCAGAATAAAATCATTTTTCGATAAGCCGCTCACTGCTTCTAAATGAATGCATTTATATCGCATGCAAATAAAAATGCATAAATAACATTTAATTAGTCTCGATCCACTTCCCTTTCGGTTAAGGATTAGGAACGGACCCGCAAAATCTAGGCCAACCGATATAAAAGGGAAGTCAGGCGTAATACGTTGTGCCGGTAAATTTCCCATTTTTGGTATGAATGTTTTACCACTAAACCTTCTGCATGTTCCACAGTTATGCACTGTTTGGCGAGCGAGACGTCGCCCATTTATAGGCCACACTGTATCTCTTACCGAAGCTAATAGTAATTGCGGACCGGCATGCATGAGTCGAAGGTGCTCGCGCTCGAAAATTAATTTCGTTAAATGATGGGCAGCGTCAAGCAGTATGGGATGCTTTTTCTCAAAGGGACAGTTTGATGCCTGAATCCTACCTCCAACTCTAATTATATTTCGCGAGTCTATGAATGGAGAAAGTGACAAAATTTTAGATTTAGTGTTTAGTTTCTTGTGTTGCTTTAGCAATTTGTATTCTAATGGAAAAGTTTGTCTTTGAGCCATGGCACATAAATGTTCAAAGGAATCCTTTAACTCTTCAGCTGTTACGAAACCTAGGCGTTTGTTTAAAGGATTTTTTAAATTAAAAATGAATCGCCTTACGTAGGCGAATGATCTTTGCAACATTGATAGTTTAGAGTAGTAATTAATATTGATAATCGATTCTGAAACCGTTACTATACTCGTCGTGAGCTCTGGTATGATGTCAAGTTTTTCCAACCCTAGCGTTGGCCAGTGTGACTNCTCTTCAGCTGTTACGAAACCTAGGCGTTTGTTTAAAGGATTTTTTAAATTAAAAATGAATCGCCTTACGTAGGCGAATGATCTTTGCAACATTGATAGTTTAGAGTAGTAATTAATATTGATAATCGATTCTGAAACCGTTACTATACTCGTCGTGAGCTCTGGTATGATGTCAAGTTTTTCCAACCCTAGCGTTGGCCAGTGTGACTCCTCCTTTTTTAGAAATTCAGGACCATCCCACCACAGTGACAAATCTGGCAGTTTATTGGCTCCGATGCCCCTCGAAATTAGATCAGCCGGATTTTCAGCCGTGGGTACATACCTCCAAGCTGATGGTTGGGTTATTTCACTAATCTCACCCACGCGATTAGCTACAAACGTCTTTAGATTTCTAGGCACACTCTGTATCCATGCAAGCACCACAGTGGAGTCACACCAGTAAACTATTCGTGATGGTTTATAATTTATAGATTCGCATACCGTAGCAGTTAACCTAGCAGCCAGTAGAGCAGCGCAAAGTTCTAAGCGCGGTATAGTCATTGATTTCAAGGGCGCAACCTTGGATTTTCCACATAACAACTTAACTGTGCTACACTTGTTAGGACAGATGGATTTTAAATAAATGCATGCGCCATAGGCACTCTGAGATGCATCACAAAATGAATGGATCTCTATAGTTACAGATTGATCACAGAGTACATTTCTGGGTATTTGTAGACCTTGAATATAATGAAGGTTGTCAGAAAATCTTTTCCAAAACTCTGAAACGTCACGAGGGACTGTTTCATCCCAATCCAATTTCTGGAGCCATAATTTTTGCAAGAGTATTTTTACTTGAATGATGCACGGACTGACCAATCCCAGTGGATCAAAAATTTTAAATATATTGGACATTATGAATCGTTTTGTGATATTTGGACTGTCTGATATTACAGATTTTATGGGATAATGTAAATAATCGCGAGACGGATTCCATCCTAAGCCGAGGGTGCTTGAGGAGTCACTAAGTATCAATTTATCATCTGAATTTTGCTCTGCACTGTTCAAAAGATTCGTTAGATTACTTTTGTACTTTCGTAATGGGAAGCAAGCTGAACTTAATGCCTTAGAAACAGAATTCTGTATGTATCGTAACTCGTCTTCACTATTGGAGCCAGTTATTAAATCGTCGACGTAGAAGTCGTTTTGGATGACGGATTTTATTAACTTATCTTCACACTCATCCCCCACTTGCTTTAGACACCTTGTGCTTAAATAGCTCGCACTTGCTGTACCGTAAGTAAGAGTATTTAGTTGCAATGTTTTTATTGGCATTGATTCATTATCTCTCCATAATAACATCTGTAAGTGGCGATCATCGGAATGAACAGCGACCTGTCGATACATTTTTTCAATATCAGCAGTCAGCATGTATCTATATTGCCTAGCTCGTATTAGAATGGAAAAGAGTGAATTTTGTATATTGGGGCCTACCATGAGTATATCGTTTAGTGAATAGCCGGAGGATGACGGAGCTGAGCCATCAAACACCACCCGAATTTTTGTGGATTCGCTTTCCTCTTTAAATATCGCATGATGACACAAGAAGTAGCCTGGCGTTGGAATTGGAACCATCCATTCCGATGCGTGACCGAGTTTGACGTATTCGTGAATAAAATCTGTATACTGAAATTTTAAATTGATATTATTGCGTAATCTTTTTTCTTGGCTAAGTAAACGTTTTCTCGCTAAGTTGTAAGAGTCTCCCAAGCAATCAGGACTATCGATTAGTGGTAGTTTGACACAAAATCTGCCATTCGATAACCGTGTTGTATTTGTTAAAAAATGCGCTTCACATAACTGTTCGGTTTTAGTAAAGATTCTGGCTTGGGGGAGTTCTTCGACGTTCCAAAACCTTGTCAAAATGGTGTCGATGTCCTTTTGTGAGCTTTCTTGTTTGCAAGAAGTAAAAAGAGCAGACTGATTACGTTCAACATACTTTGAACAACTAACATGAATAGGTCCGGCTACCAGCCAACCAAGCTTGGAGCTGATCAAGCTTGGAGCGTTTAATCCCAATGACTGTTGTTGAGTACCCACAATATCCCAAAATATGTTTGCTCCAAGAATGATGTCTATTCGTTTAGGCAAATTGAAACTAGGATCAGCTAGTTGTATATGATTAGGTAATTTGATATTTCGCATATTTATCGGAGCCTTCGGGAGCTCTCCTGTTAGTTCATTAAGCACCAAACAGGATAAAGTAATTTTGTATGAATTATCTATTGATTTTATATTTGCCTTGCAGGCTTCAACTACTCTGTTCGATGAATTATTGCCTATTCCAACTATATTTATAGCATCAGTTTTGATGGTATCAAGTTGAAGCTCTTGGGTCAATGATTGAGTTATAAAAGAAGATTGACTGCCGCTGTCCAAAAGGGCGCGCACCATTTTTACTTTAGTGGTCTTCAGATTTGATACCCCTATGATGGCCGTGGATAAAATAGCTGCAGACAATGAATGCTCGGTGAAAGCAGTTACCGAATTTAAATCATTGTTCTCGTCAGATTTTGAATCTTCAGGGTTATGNAAAAAAAAAAAAAAAAAAAAAAAATAAAAAAAAATATTTTTAACTACTGATACCATGCACCCCACGCTTTTTTTTACAATAAAATCATTTTTTCTTACACTATTTTGAATTCAAATTTATTAAGATTTATTTTCTATTTTTTAGTTGGATTTTCTATAAAAGCTTATTTTGTTGTTTGTTTGTTTTTTTAAGCTAGTATTTATTTTTCATTTTTACTTGAATTTCAATTTTTTCATTATATTTTTTTTCTATTTTTTTTCATATTGTCTTGTCATCGGTCCTTAATAAGTATACCAAATTTCGAGTTAATCCGACGTTTTGAAGGGGTCAAAATCATGTTCAAAGATTCCGTTACACACATACACATACGTCTGAAGCTAATAAAAGCGTATTAAAAACCTGCCCTTTGACCTCTGAGAGGTGTACGGGCAATTCATTTTATTCGGTAAATAATTTCGAATTACTTCAAATTGTTTTAAAAAAAGGTTGTTCCCGAACCTTTTTTTAGTTTTAACTTAATTAGACACGACAGTGGAATATAAATGGGATCTAATTACGTTACAGAGACGGCTTGGTAAGAAGTTTAACTGTGAACTGTATGTGAGGACCATCGCAAAAAGGTCTGTAGTTTTTTTTCTATAACACTAATTTTTCAAAATAAATTTACGATAAGCATTAGGTTAAATTTGCTTTATCTGTGTAACAGTACTTATATTTATAAAATACTCTTTTACAGGTTTGAAATAGTCTGTTTTCCATTTTTTTTTATTATCTCAAAGTCTTATAGGTAAGGATCGGGAAATTTGCCTGAAAAATGGGTTCTCAATGGGCAGGATTATATTATTATTAATATTAACTTCGAATGCAAGTACTGATAATAATTTTTAAGCCTGTACTGTAAGTTGAGGAAATTTCATAAGATCTATCATGTCAATGTGATGTGGTTTATCGCGATCGTTGCTATGAAGATTACGAATGCTATACAATTATTCATTGTTATTATCTAAGTCAGTAATTAAATTGCTCCTAGGTTAGCAATAACAGTCATTACCAGTTTTCCTTTTTTCACACAATGTAATTAACTCTTCGGCCTCATCTCTGAAAGTGGTTGGCATTGAGATTTCTATGGGATTCTGTAATAAGAGATGGCTAATGAGGTACTTGGCTGCTTATATACAAACTTTATCGATTTGGATTTACCTCCCAAATGATTCTGACACGAAACAAAGTCGAGATATCGACCTCCAAAATCGTTATAATCGCATAAAGCTGCAGGGATACTCCATGACATTGCGACTCTATGACAAAAGGGTCCTTCTTCGCATATAACGTGCAAACCTGTGTCTTTAATGGGTTGAACTGAACAGAATTCAGTTCACCCCACTTGGAGACCCGCCCCAAAAAACTCTCCACTTCAGACACAAGTTTTCATCGTCTCTCTTGTACCATTCTTCGAGAGAGATTCTGATGACCAAAAATAATAATTATAACTCAATCTTTATGTTTGGACTAAAAAAACAGGGCCAAGAATTGTATAGTTTACCTTACATATACATGATAAATAATTAATTATTGGGATTATGTTAGCTTTAGGCATACTTAGAAAGTTTTGATTGAAGTTATTCAACTTACTGAGGCTTGTTCATACTTAGGCAATGTTTTGTGTAAGTAAATCTTTACTTTTGTTTCAGAAAATTTGGCTTTCAGGCCTTAACTGATTCAAAACGTTATTAAATATACGTATTTATAGCAATTAGCCTATCCGGATGCCTCTATAATTAGGATACCAAGAAAATATTGCTGGTTGGGGTTGGGATGCTATTTGAGTTCCTTGACTGTTCCCACAATTTTTTTTTGCAAGTACTGATAGTGAGTCATATGTTTAGCCCGTACGGGTCGTTTTACAATCTTACTCTTATTTCTAGAAAACACATTAAATATTTTGGTTTGTAAATACAAGTCGTCGTGGCCTAAAGGGTAAGACGTCCGATGCATTCGTATCTAGCGATGCACCGGTGTTCGAATCCCAGGCGGGTACCAATTTTTCTAATGAAATACGTACTTAGCAAATGTTCGCGATTGACTTCCACGGTCAAGGAATAACATCGTAGGTAGGACCTCTTGTGACCCTACCTATTTCTGCCGTGTAGCAGTAATGCCTTTCGGTTTGAAGGGTGGGGCAGCCGTTGTAAGTACACTGAGAACTCATATCTCAAGGTGGGTGGCGGCATTTACGTTGTGGATGTCTATGGGTTTCAGTAACCACTTAACACTAGGTGGGCTGTGAGCTCGTCCACCCATCTATGCAATAAATAAATAAATCCTTGCGTCAATAATCCTCAATGCTGAAGATCAAGGTCTTCCTTAATAACTTTTTCCTGGATTATCCTACGCCAGCCCTGCTTATCAACTTTGCGCGGATCCCATCGTGAACTAAGGTTTTGAGAGTAGGGCGTATCTGGTCTTTAGTATTGGACTTCTGCCTCTGGGCCTTCTTCGGGGTACCTGGTCTGTTATCACCAAGTAGCTTCATTTCATCTACACTAATGACAAACGCAACTTGTAGACCAAATTGAATATGATTACAAGATTTTCAAAAACTATGCTCAAATCTCACACGATCTAATTTAAACTACACTTATAAGTTCGTATACTTTTTTTAGGAATGAAAGATTTTGGTGGCTCTTGGGCCTTTTCAATTTCACTAGGTTATCTGGGCGAGCACGACTCATTCCGGAGGGGTGGGATTTGGGAAAAGCTGCCCGACGCCTCCGAAGAAGACCTAATACCTCAAATGCAGCTCTGCTTTGCGAATGCATCTACTACCGGCTTACAATCGCGACCCGGTAAGAAGATCCAGCGAGAAACTCAGCATGCTGATGTATTAGTTAGGTTGCACGTCGAACTCTTTGGCGAGCTCAACAGTACGGTTACCAGAGTCCCTAAGTCCTTAGTGCCCTTAGCTGCCCTTAGTGCTATCTGCAGGCGAATATTATTTATTTATACTTTATTTCAGTTTTTATTGTTTTTTAACCATAATATTTTGTTAGTAACAATTACTTATAATCTATGTTAGTAACTTAAAAAATCTAACACGTAACTATCATTACATACATTTTATATCATTACATTTGTTTTTTTTTTCCTTCCAAGTGCCTGCTGCAAAGGCAGCAGTCCCTCGATCCTGCTCGATATGATGTTCAGTAGACTGTTGCCCCTGTCACGTACTCGACGCAATAACGATGCACTTCTCTTCCGCATTATTGCAAAGAAGTCATCGGTGTGAGATGTTGCAAACATTGTGGATGCACTATAAAAGCGCGGCAGTGACAATATCATCCTAAACGCATTGAATACGTAATAATAATAGTGTTAATAGATATGATTTAATTCGTAAGGACGTGTAAGTTCATACTGATATTTAAACGTAAGCCATAAAAGACTAAGTTAGTTTTCCCCTCGATATATTGAAGTGAGCTCGCACGTGTGCACTCGTGAGTGCGCGCCGCAAACCACGTAATTGCCGATGTTAATTCAATTTCAAACACCCTGTACACGCACCGCAATCTTTACACGTTCAAGTTGCAGTTTTATGCGCCAGACTATTTTTTATTTACTGACAGCTTTATTCAAAAAAGTGTGCTCATCGGATGAAAATATCTTAGAATCCATATTTAATGGTTTCTAGTTATTGCTACTAAAACCCTGGAAGTCATCCATCGTTACAAACTCTTCTCCTCCATGGCTTTGTTTTTCCCAAATTGTTGCTCTTCGTTTTTTAATTTCAAGCCTTTATATAGTTATAACAGAACTGTTGTCCTATTTCTGCAATATTCGTGCATTTGGGTCTAAAGTATAGGAATTTAAAAATTACTCTCGACGCTTTGACCTCATGTCTCAAGGGGGTTCACACTGTGTTTTCAACAGCCAAACTGATGTTGAAAATTCTATGTTGGTTGCCATTTTATTGCATTAAACTTTGAACAATAAGGCGTGGAACGTTTTTTTAGGAATAGATAAGGTAAAAATATTTACGTTCATCTTACTCCTTAGGGACTGGACAAATAGTTACATGATATTTCCACACTAGAGATCATTTGTAGTACTTATGTGGTATATATAAAACATCTAACAAGTAATTACTGCAAAATAATAAATTAGTAAGTTCTACTTTTATATTACAATGAAATTGGTTTGAAGTCTTTAATGAAGATATGTTGGTTGAAAAGATAATTACCCAAAAAAAATCATCCAATACAACAATATGTGTGAGCCCCTCAATCACATAATCGCGTCACCGTACTTATTACATTTATCCCAATCGCGATAGGAATTCGGATAGGAATATCTGGCCACCTATGCCAATAAATTTACTCACAGTTTCACGCGTGTTTGATTGCAGCCTAAAACAATTTGTTTGTTAGTGAGGGAACGTCGCTGCGTTGATTGCCGATTTGTTTGACGTGCCAATGAAATTGGGGGTGCGACGGCAAAAACGATTTTCCCTTTACTTAAAACTAAGTAATGGAATGGAAAATTTACATTTATCTAGTGTATATCTTTTGGAACTCAGGGTCCTAAAAACAAATTTTAGTACTCTCAGTGTTCCTAAGTACATAATACATCTATAATATACTAGCTGACCCGGCAAACATTGTTTTGCCATATATAAGATTTCTAGGGAATTTGTAGTGTAGAAAAAAATACCTAACTTATTGTAAGTGTGTAAGGATGTGGTACATGAGTGAAAGAGGTATGTAGTGGTGTGAACGATGATGGAATATATAATAAAAATAACAAAACCTCATTCAACCACGACTCACTATAACATGATATATAGTTATATATATATATCACTCACCATATATAGTTCTCTCAATGCTGTATAACATTTGTGTGGGTCATAGTTATTTGCCAAGGGAAATGATACGAACAGTAGTTGTACCAATAGCTAAAAATAAGACTGGAGACCTTGCAGATAGCAGTAACTATAGGCCTATCTCACTAGCTACTGTTATATCCAAAGTGTTGGACAGCATGCTTAACTTTAAACTAAATAAATATGTAAATCTTCATGATAACCAATTCGGATTCCGTTCAGGTTTGTCGACAGAGAGTGCAATCTTAAGTCTTAAGCATGCTGTCAAATACTACACGCGGCGAGGAACACCTGTTTATGCCTGCTTTCTTGATCTGTCCAAGGCGTTTGATTTGGTTTCCTATGACCTCTTGTGGAAAAAGTTGGAAAATATTAAACTACCCACGGAAATAAATAACATTCTAAAGTTTTGGTATGGGAACCAGATCAACAATGTGCGATGGGCTGGGGCTTTGTCTCTTCCATATAGGTTGGAGTNCCTTTCAGATTGGTTTTATTATCCCATACAACATTGCGATGCTCCATGCTGCAGAAACGCACTAGGACAGGTCTGACTTTGCCCTGAGAATTGCCGAGCCGATGACAATTGTTGATATGTTCTATGCAAATTTCAGGGAGTTTCATGTTTCTAGTGAAAACTTCAACAATAGATTTGTGCAATTTTTCATTTTTATTTTCAGGAATACCATGTAGAAGTAGAACTTTTCTTCTCATCATGGTCTCATGCCTATCCAACCCGAGGCTGAGAAGCTCAATCTGGGTCTTCATCTGAGAAAGTGTTTGCCACACAAAAGCTTTAAAATCATTAAACTCACGCGATAAAGTTGAAATATCGACATGTGCTGGAACAGCTCCGGTAGATGCCTTCTGCAGCTTCAGGTCATAGTCGTTCATACGTGTTTGGAAAAGCTTCTCGAGGCTTTCTAGACTATTTATAAGTTTCAGATCCATGATGTGTGCAAGTAAAGTTTACGGCCAAAACAAGTGTGTTTTATTGTTGCTAAAAGTTGTATAACACTAAACAGCGAGAATAGGTAAGATTAAGACACAATTACAGCATTAAACAATCACTATTTTATCCTTTTTATAATTTTAATCTAATTAATATTAGCAGGGGCGAAAAATTTGCGTGTGTATTGCTCGCCTACCCACACAAGAAGTACGCTAAGCTCGCTTACTGAATATGCATAAAAAAATTCATGAGAATCGGTCAAGCGGTTTCAGAGGAGTATGGGAACGAACATTGTGACACGAGAATTTTATATATTAGATATAAGTATAAATCTACAGTGGTTTTTACGGAAGTTTCGTTATAACTACTGAACCATGCATCCGACTGACTTGAAACTTGGTGTTCATGTAGAAAATACATGTACTTAATGAATAAGCTAATATTTATATGACTGTTGGACTCCCTACACCAGTTGCGGGGGCGTTAATGATGAGAATCTTTAAGGGTGAGAAATAATAATGTTAATTTTAAACGCCCAGCGAAGCGGACGGGTACAGCTAGTACATGATATAAATAGACTAGGGCTTACAATCTACATATCAAAGAAAATAATTTGATCTCATATAAAATATTCTAGTTCCAACATATCACCGCCACCGGGGAGAAATCATCCTTTTTTATTAACCTTCTAGGCAGACGAGCATCCGGCCTATCTGATGGTGAGTGGTTACCGTCCCCCATGGACGTCAGCAACGTCAGGAACAGAGTTAAGCAATTGCCTCCTGAGCAAGATTACTTTGAAATTTGTTTTATACACCTTGTGATGATCTACGTACACAAGAAGCTGCCATTGACGTAGTAGAAATTTAGTACTCCTAATCGGAATCTATATTACTTGTTTTATTATAACTTTCAACACTTACCCAATGTCAAACCTACAGCTATTCACTACAATTAAAAATTCTCAGAATCTAGTGGTGCTCAGGGCACTTTGAACTCTAATTGAACATGTTTGTTTTTACTGGTGGTAGGACCTCTTGTGCGTCCGCGCGGGTGGGTACCACCATCCTGCCTATTTCAGCCATGAAGCAGTAATACGTTTCAGTTTGAAGGGCGGGGCAGCCGTTGTAACTAAACTTGAGACCTTAGAACTTATATTTCAAGGTGGGTGGCGCATTTACGTTGTGGATGTCTATGGGCTTCAGTAACCACTTAACACCAGGTGGGCTGCGAGCTCGTCCGCCCATCTAATCAATAATAAAAAAATGTTAATATTTTACTGAGTCATTTGAGAAATATTTACACATAGATAATTGCATTACATATTTAAATTTAAATCAATTAGGGTGGCAATTTCGTGCTGGTCCCAAGTTCTCATAGGCTGCCAAGTTTGAAAGTAAAGGTCGCACTGATTACCCTACAAACGCAATAAACTATTTACGTAAACTGAACATCAGTTAACTCGCCGAGCCCATTTATATGCTAATGTTTTGTTTTATTCGTTGGGTTGACTACAAGATGACCATCATTATCATCGACAGCTTAAATTAGCCCACTGACGGACAAAAGCGTCTGATGACATGCGCCAATGATACTAGTTTTCGATTCTCCTCATCCAGTAATTGTCAGAATCTTATTAAATTCTTCGTTCTACCTTACACTAACTTTTTCTATCTTGTGTGACATTTCATAGCATATACTAACTAGATATAGAAATTATCTTCTTATTAATAAATGTAACTGGAATTATACAAAATTCCACTTAGATTTAGAGAAAATCAGGTTTTTCTAAACCTAGGTCTCAATGTCTCAGCCGTATCTGTGTTAGCCTACAAGGCTTGGACATACACTGCATTTTTCATCTGACTTGTGACGCAACCGAAAGGATAATACTAAGATGCAATAGTAATCCATTTACCTCGGAAGTCGACGATCTTACCATCTATATGATGACGAGTGCTCTAAATCGCTAATGGACATCAGCAAAGTGGTTTCCCTAACTAATGGTCAATTGGTAAATTGTTTCTAATACAAAGTAAAATTATCCCAAATTGTTATTTTAGTTTTTTCTCAATAATAATCTGAAGAGATATAGAAATAAATGTGATTACAAACACTTTGATATTCCAAGAGGAGTGAGAGGACCACGAGTCGTCGCGAGGATTTTCTTGCCATAAAATAATATTGCGTCTGGGTTTAAAGCTAGAATAAATGTTTTTATTATACACCAGTGAGTCCCCGCCACACTCCGCTCTGATTGTCACTAAATATATTTTGTAGTCCAAATTATTAAAACTACTCGCATACTATCTATCGTATAGATCGGACTATACCAAACCTCGATCACCTACTACTGAAAAAAAATCAACAATATCAAGTCTTTTTTGTAGCCCAGATAGGCGAAAGAACATCACAACGTGATTGCTGCCTCCACCTTGACCTTTGTAGTCTTAGTCTCAATTGTGGTCTAACGGAAGTCTTCATTAGGAGGTGCATTACTGCTTCCTAGCGGAAATAGGCAGTGTTGAGCAAAACCGGCACCTGCTGGAGGATCTTTCAGCCGACGAAACCGCCGTGGAGGTAAGGTACCGGAGGAGGGCGAGGAATCAACAGGAGTGCCACGCCGTCCTCCAGGTATCGCCCGAATTATGGCAAAGGCTAACGTCGGCTGGAAGAGTATACATTAACCTCCAGCATGTGAGGGTGCAGGACCGGTCACCACTGGTGCAGCAGATGCCTGGCGTACGGCCACGGCCGGAAGCAGTGCGCGGACGATGTGGATCTCTGCAATTACTGTGGCGGTCCGCATCTCAAAAGTTCGTGCACGCAACTGGCGGCCGCCCAGGCACCGTAGTGTATTAACTGCACCAGGGCCAAGCTAACTGAAACTGCCCATACGGCATTTGGTGACTGCTGCCCTGTTAGGAGAAAGTGGGATGCGCTGGCCAGGGTGGCAATAGCCTATGGCTAGGGCTGCTCTGGCTGGTGGCCCGCCGGACCCGATAGTGTGGCGGTCCGAAACGTCGTTAACCCTATACTCGGCTCGAACTTTTGACCTCGGGGTTACTCACTGCTAAAAAAAAAATTTCCAATTATAAACATACACACACACACTTTTTCATTTTTAAATAAACTTTTTAATGAAACTTGTATGTCTAAACTATGATTTCTTACCACTATACCACTTAATATAAGAAACTTTGAATATAATTATTTAATATGAAAATGTAAAGTTGGAGGAGTTAGGGTTGACTGTAAAACCAATTTCGGCTTTTGAACTTTGACCACACTATATTTAAAGTTGAAGTTATCCCAGCATGTCCATTAAAAACTAAAACAAACAGAAAATCTATATTTAGAAGAATATTTTCATGCATTCTCATCTCATCTCCCATAAGGTAATTCCAGCAGGATTATCGGGGCGGGTATCGCGCGCAAATACAGACAAACGATCCCCTAATTCCAAGAAATATGAGCTCGCTCAGTTTTGTTCCAGTGGTCCAGTAAGTCTGATTTCTAATCGTTTTCAGGAAAACGCCCCTAAACTCTGGTTTTATATTAATGAATGCGGACTATCATGCAGGTTCTTTGTTGGTGATAGCGATTATGGTTCACGGAAATCGAGAAAGCCAAAGAAGCCATAACAATGCCGCCTAGTATAGCAACTAATATGAGATTGCGACAGACTTGAAATTACATAACCGGGGCAGTTTCCATGTATTTAGCCCAGCTGCATTTATGCCCAGAGCGCTTCCAAATATGTTTTGTCACGTAGATGTTACGGAATTAGCTGGACACAGTGAACACATTTACACGGGGCACAATGTATGCAAAACTTCCCAGCGCTGCCAAACCTGATACTTACTATTCCGACATTCCATTTTTCGCGACAAACCATATCGCCTTTCGTTGTCGAACAACCGAATCTACTAGGTCGTGATCTCGTGACTTTTCTGATTTTGATATGACGACAGAAGCGATTGCATAACAATCACTAATGTTATAAAGGCGCAAAAAAAAACATACTTTTATAGTTAGGTTATCCACACCAACAAAAAAGCTTATTATTAAATAATATTGTTCTATAACTCTCTAATTTTAGAGTTTTGCTTGCTTAACGGTAGGCAGTGGCTTGGCTCTGGCCCTGGCATTACTGACGTCCCACCATCAGATAGGCCGTTTGGCCTAGAATAACCACCTCATCTCATGGGTGTCCAAGGTGTTGCAAGAGGCAACTAAGGGATTCACCGCAGAAAGAGCAGCTACGCTCTCAGAGTATTGTACCGATATATAATAACAATCGCAAACTCACACACGCACACTTTGACGCAAACTGAGTGATAGGGCTTATTGTAAGCTCGCACTTCCTCGTTATAAAAGCCTCCGATAACGACTAAGCATCAGGCTGGTCATGAACTCGTTCACCCATTTACGTCTTAAAAACAGGTGCCAACAATTACAGAAGCTCACTGACCTGCTCTGTGAAATCTAAGAAAATACCTGCTGTCTATTTCTAAATACGCATTTTACTTGGATTAAATTTATAGTATAAAATGGATTAGTTTTATAAATAAGGCTGTTACGAGTTTATTGTTTATTAAAATCTTCTCTTTTAAATATCAAGGGATTTTAGTACTTCAAAACTTGAAACGGACAGCTCATTAGATTTTAAAAGCTCAGATCACTACTGATTTAAAAAACCAGTTCTGGTTTAAAGTGAAATCACAAAAAATAATGTAATACCATAAATGACAAACTACCCTCGTAACGCGAGGCATATTCTCGTTACCAAAAAACACTCTAGGCTTTACATTTAAGTGCCTATAACACTATTAAACAGATCGCGTGTGGTACAATGTAACGGCTCCGAATTAATACTAACAATTACTTGGGCAGCACGCACAAAAAAATGTGTACAAATTGCTAGTGTGCGTGACAGAAATGAATGTGTACTTTTTGATAAGCGACAGCGATTTTGAAATCAAATTGCATATTTGTATGATCCACCAACACACGAAAACAAACATTTAAATCAAGGACATCGAAACTGAGAACTAATGAATGGAGAATTTATGAAAAACATTTATGGGGCACAGTGCTTTTAATATTTTTAAATGATTTATTAATATGTATAATATTATTACAAATTACGACTTTAAAGTATTAAAATATTTAAAACGAAACACAATT